GGGGGGGGAGTATGATTTTAACCAAGGCTGAGTCACAATGCTAACAGGCATGGAAGTGAGACTCAGAATCAGACGAGTCTGGATCTAGTGTCCATATGTTTCCAGCCTAGCCTAACAGATCAACTACAGTAACAACAATGATCATACTTACTCTGTACATTTTTTATATTAGATTTATAAGCTTTACCTCACACAACTCCACGAGGAAGATCTGTCTAAAAGTTCCCATTTTTACAGATGGGAAAACAAGTTCAGAAGTTCAAGTCCCTAACCTAAGTTCACACAACTACTTTGGTAGCAAAGCCGTGGTATGAAACATGGACTCTGATTCTACCAAATCTTCCCCCTGCACTATATCGTCATCTTCTTTTGAGACTCAAGCTGATGACTCTTCATAATGACCTTATCTCTAGACTGAATAAGACAAATGCACTTGTGCTGTTTAGTCTGGGGGGAGGCTGCCACTGTAGAACCAAGTAAAACTGCTGGATGCGTGGGTGGTGATGCAAAAGAGACCTGTCTTCCATTTCTCGTTCCCTAGCTGGTTGGTTTCCCATGTGGGTCAACATGGAAGAGAAAGACAAACCCATGTGGTGTTCAACCAGTAGATCCAGAGGGCTGGGGCAGAAGCCTGCACAGTGCATCCAGAAAAATGAGTCAGCTCCAAACTCAGCTCACGGAAAAGGAGAAGTGGGTACAACTACTGTCACAGCTTTGTGAGGGAAGATGAAACTCTGGATCCACTGAAATGGAATCTCTAAGGAGCCAAACACTGCTACTTTTTAAGTCACTCTTACTTTCACTAACAGTTTAAGTTTTCCCCCCATGTGGCTTCATATTTATTATTTTAATGGGAACATAACGGTTTTATGGAGTATATATACTATAATTTCATTAACTATTCCCATACTGCTAAGAATTTAGCCTATTTCTAATTTCTCACAATAACAATTATTATAGCAATAACACTTCCTCTCATACAGTGACTTCTTTCTTTAAAATTATTTCCACAGGATACATCCCTGAGGGTGTATGGAATGGAGTGCTATCCTGCACTTTTTTTATGGTTCTTCCAGTTTTCATTCCAAATTGCTTTCCTATAGGGAATTAAAATTTATACTGTCATCAGTAAGATATGTAAGTATTTTTGTTAACATAATAGATACAGGTTTTTACCTCACAGTTCACAGGGGTATGCGTTACAAATTCTGCATGACTTTATTC